ATGCAGAGACAGTTTCATAGGTAAATTTCGATTTTTTAAAAAGACGTAATTTTAACGTTACACCCGATCCTTCAATCTAATTGGCCATAGTCACGCCGGAAAAAATCTTGTGGGTGAGATACGGGGGTTCCAATAAAATTGCTTGTTGTGATCGACACGGATCAGCCCGACGAAGAAAAAAGTGAAAACCATCTAAACCTACCTTGGCTATTAATAAAAAATGACCGGAAGGCAATTTTACTATAATAGTGACCCTTATTATAACTATACCCTAATCCCTACCTAACTTTAATTAAAAAAATTGAAAACATATGAACGCACACGGATTTAGACGTACCCTGAAAATGTAAGTCCTCCGCTACGCATACGTGTACTATACATATTACACATGCTATACACACTATACGCACTATAAGTACTGTACGCTAAAAAAATCTGGGTATCATATAAATGGCAATTATTTATATGTAACTTCAAGTGTGATGGATATAATCCCTCACTTGGTGTAACATTAACGGTTCCTCCTGTTATACAAACAAACCATTCAATCAAAGGCATGAATTTGTACAACACTTCATTTTTCGTATACTGTACGTATAACAATTTAAACAACTATAAATGTTGAATATGATTATCAAAAATCGTAATTGGTTACTGAATTATATATTAATCAATCAATGTAAACCATAAAAAAGTTTTTCAGACAACTGCTCTATCAATAACGAGTCTAACCCATTTTCTCCACAAGCTAACCCATCTTTCCATCCTGACGCATCTCATTAGGCATAGGAATTTATTAAAATGATGCATCATAACTTAGTGAATGTTGATTATCTCAGTAAAATCTATATTTACATATTAGTAGTCAAATTTTCAAATTTTAGGGTATTTCCCTATTGCATTTATTAAATAAAACTTTATTTAAACCTTTATTTAAACCTTTAAAAATATAATACGTATAATACAGTACAGAACAGCATAAGATATTCAAGTTTGATTGGTTTTTTAAAAATAGTATAATTCGACAAAAATTATTAAATCAACAAACCCTTTTAAATTGATTGTTTGTAATCTAAACTATATTTCTAAAAGATTTTATAAAAAGTTAAATATTACCTATTTTATATATAAATCAAAATTTAGCGCACTATATTTCTGAATATCGTATAATAAACCGATTAAAATTAATTATCAGTGAATAATTATATACTCTAAGTATGATTTTGCTGTGAAAGAACTTATATTGTTATTAAATTTAGCGCCTATTATCATGGGACTCGGAAAAAATAATCTACAAAATTGGTCGATCCAACTAAATCAAAAAGGGCAATAAGCTCAGGTGCAGAGCACAAAACCTATGTCTTAGGTAGCATTACTTTGTTAGACAAAACTACTTTTGGCAAATGGTGAAAGCCCGACGAAAATAGAAACTGGCAAAACAGCAAAGCTAGAAAGTGATGATTGAATCCTGAGCCATGTTGATAAATCAAAATATTTTGAATGTGGCTATTAAGCACGTCATGTGGCTTATATAAAAATATGCGAAAACAATAAACAAAACGATAGCCTTTCGAGTACTATTAAAAGAATACAGTACTTCAGGCTTTTGAACTTTTAATAAATTAATTCAGCCTAATTAAAAAATTATACAGAATATATATAGGATTTATGCCAAATGTTGCAAAAACTAAATGAAAACTGTATTTTAAATTGATTTAAAATATACAGTAGTCATATTTAACTTTTAAAAATTCAATAAATTCATTATAATTAATAAATACAAAGTAAATTTTAATCTAATATATGTATATTGATATTTTGCTTAAAGATTTTCTATAAATACTAAATGCAACAACCTTTTTAGCTAAAAAAAATTTATTAGAATTACAACATATATTTTTACTTATAAATCTAACGTTTATAATTGATATATTGTGCTTTGATCCAACTTTATTGCCTTTTGTTAAAAACAAATCTAATATAATATTCATTTTAATAAAGTAGAAATTAATTGCCAAATATTTGAAAAATAAAATTACAACTAACTTCTTTACAGTCATAATCTCAGTTCCAAAAAATTCTGTATTTATAAACAATTGTGCTTGTATAGAGGTTAAATTTTTCTAAGAATTAGTGTGCTTGTAAAAGGATATAATTATGATAATATGACAGTGTAAAAAATTAGACTGTAGTATGCTTAAAATGCTGAAATTAAACAAATAATATAAGCAACATTACATTAACTTCAATAAATCATGCCTGTTAATAATGAGATTATTTTTAATAGGCAAGATTCCAAAAACAAAATATCACAATATTACTAGTAACGAAACAGTAACATTTCAGCGCTTTACGTAGTAGTTTCTGAATTTATAAAGAGAATCGTAAAGTCAGTGCTAAATATTACATACAAGTATAATTCCTTCCTCCACTTATATTAATTAGTCAAGATTGGTTGTTCTGCTAGAACAGCAAATCAGATTTTAGATAGTCACCAGTTAAATTAATTTCTAGAATGTACTATTTGAGAACATGAGATTGAAAACTTGTAACCAATCATAGTTATTAATTTAAGAAATATTTTTAGTAGGGTTAGTTAATCCAATATAATGAGTCAACCATAATAGCCTCTAAAAGTGCTGGTCACATGAGTAATATGATGGAAAGTACGTGAACTTTGTGTGCTGCGACTGTAAAATGGGTACTTTAAAGTCACACTGATCGGCTTCCCATTACATATAGTATATAAAGCCAGACTAATTTGATTCTATGTCTACATTATGCCCTTCATTTATGAAGGAAAGATTGAAAAGGCCAATTTTTAAAAATTTTTGGGCCTTTTTTGTTGTCGCTTATTTATAGTTAAGTTAGGGGTAGAGTTATAATAAAAGAGTACAGGTGGATTTTGTTCACTATTATCCGATTTCATAATCATCTGTTACATAAAATACTGTAAATTATAAAGTAGTTTAGTTATATTTACCAATATGATTTGTCACACGAAATGCTTTCGGAGAATTTTCACCGGATTATAAATAATTACGGAAGAAAATTGAAAATTTTCTTCTTGGAAGGGAATCTAAATCAAAGTAAATAAGTTTTAGGAATAGTGTTTGAGGTTAAGGTTAGAACGGAATTAGGCCGTTTAAAGTTGGTTCTTCGGTTAACACCACCCTCCAGCTGAAGTCTCCCCCGAAAAATGAACAACCAATGAAAACGCTGGATAACTCTCACCAATCACTTGATTTACATCGACCAATCAAATTGACTCAACACATGATGAGCATAAATTCAAAATAAGTAATAAAGGTGCGTATCACAGTAATATTGTGTTTTCCTTTTTTTTAATGTATACAAATATATTAATACGTCATACGCATAAATTTCCATACGATGTACTAGATATAGTAAATGGAATGTAAAAACATTGTGAGATGAAAACAAATAATACAAATAATACAAACAAACCAGAATTACAGTTGTAATAACTATTTTTGTGCTCAGAACATTCTATACTACAACTCATTCTGATTGTTTAGGCTTAGAAATTGTGGTTTGTCTTTATTATCACGGTTATGTGCCAATCCAACACGTGAACTCTAGTAGTATCATGGTTAGTTTAGAAATTATAAACAAAGAATCTTTTTATAAAAACATAAATAATCACTGTAAAATGACGAAATAATGTGTTTCACTTAACGGTGAGTTCTAATTGATGGTAATAACGGGTATTGTTAGACCTGAGACTTAAAAGTTAACAGTGAAATTTTAAGAGTAAGTTAGAAGATTATTAAAATAACAATAAAGAGAAACAAAATTATAGGTATAAAAAGTTGAGGTAGTATAATATAAAGGTTAAATTTATATAATTACTACTAAAATTACTATATCTAATGTGGTTATGTGAGGTTTGTAGGATAGTGTAAACAAAAAAAGTATTTTCCTGTTATGCTGTGCAGCCTACGCACGTAATAAACTGTTTTGGTACTAGTCTCAGAATAATCTGGTGTAGCAACTAAAGTTTAGTACAATAACTCTTTATAGATGTTAATTTTAAATTACCGATAACAGTTTTTCAATAATTATTGGTTATATTAAAAGTAACTTCATAGAGGCTATATTGTACTTATCCTTCTTGACCTGATCGTACATATATGAGTCTACCCTAATTTTTACGTTTAATATTTATTTTAAGTTACGCAGCTTGTTGATTCCGTTCGTGACACTAAATGATTCCGCAGGCTAAGTAAAATTTTGTCATATTGCTTATTTTTAAAGTTCATTTAAATACTACAAAAGAAAAATTACCTGATATAACTTTAATTTGAAAAACGGAGATATTACGGAGTTACCAATGATCGATGATTGATAATCACCAAAAAAAGGCTTCTTTTTTTTATTTGAATTAGGTTATATAATTTATATTTTCTAAAATCTCTTGACCAACAAATTAGCCAATGTAGAGTAGCACATAAAATGGTGGAAATATATAACCCCACACAAATCCTCCATCATTAATCGCAAATTAAACATGATCGATTATAAGTTCGTGTTTATTTTCATCATTTGTTATTGTATGGTCGCAAGAGCATACTATTGTATGGATATTTATTTTATCTTTGAATATAGATTACTACCAAATTATATTATATTTCTTATTATCTAGAATCGATTTAGATGCATCAATTAGGGATGGTAAAAAAACAGGTTTAACCATTTTTTCACCGATTTAAAACAGGTGATGATTAAAGTCCGAATTGTCAAATCTGGACTTTAATATATTTAGGACCAAAATAATCACCTGTTTTTAATTACGTAATAAAAAACTTTTGCCATCCTTAGCATTAATATGTTTTCTACACGCGAAGTAAAGTACATCCGAATCAGATTACTGGAAGTAGAGTTTGGAAGCAGTTTTATTTTCCATATATTAAACCGGCTTTAATCGGTTTTAACATATGGAAATAAAAACTGCTTCCAAACTCTAACTGGAAAAAAATATGGTAGATTCTATACGTAAATTTTCTCAATAAAATTAAAACTTATCATAATATGCTTATTTAAATATAGCTGTAGTGCTTATTACCCCTCAGAATGTGAAAACTGGTTCAAAAATTACAATAAGTTGGATTCTTAGTGGTACTCAACCTAAGTCCACATTTGCGTTGGGGATTAAAAATGTACAAACATTGACTCTTAACACCATAAATGCTGATTTGAATCTTAATTCGAAATCTGAAGATTGGGCCGTTGATGTTGAAACAGGAAGCTATTATTTGTACATTGAAGATCAGCAACTTCGTAATTTGACGAATTCGTCTATATTTCCTGTCGTCAAGTCTGATTCAAGTGACCAAACTCAAGGTATGTTCACGTGTAATAATACATATATCTTATGTAATCATTAAATCCTAAAGCCTATTTCATATGTATATTGGATAAGCAGCATCAACGATTGACATTGGAGGTTTTAAAATTAGTATTGTAACATTCACAATAGCTGTAGTTATTGTTCTTCTAATTTGCGTTATTAGCATTGCTTGTATAGCATGTAATGTATGTAGACCTAATTGTGTTTGTTCCAATATTCGATGTTGTTGTTAGCAAACGACTGGTATTATGACATGTACTTACAGGTCAAAAGAAAAGCCTAATACTGAAAATAGCTTCATGGCAATTAATTCATTTTAAGAATTTAGATTAGCAATATTTATTAATTTATTATTAAGCAAAAAGTTTAGTTCAGATCAATTTAATTCTTTGCTTAACATATTTCACTCTATTTTTTAACATTTTATATGAATCAAATCACATAATATTAACAAATCAAATTGCAACGTTATCCATCATATGTATTATATATTTTTATATATTATTTAAAGTACAGTATTGTCAATCCAAACTCACCATAGTAAGATTAAAAAAATATTGCACAATATTAATTATCCTCTGAAAACCCCATCTATGTAACTTTTTTCATGTACTGGACATAAATTTATTTAATTTAGGTGATTAAATATATTATCCTATTTAATCTTAAATATCAAAAACAATGCGTAAAAAACAGGTTTCGCTTTAAAATAAGTATTTTACGTAGATGGCAGGGTAAATCAGTTATATCCTGTGTAGCTGTGTAGCTGTGCATGCAGTAAAATATGATTGTCGGTTACGGCAAAATTCGCCTATACCCAACTGCCCAGAATATAAATTTTACCAATAAAACAGCCTTTGGGACTTTGACAAAAAACTTTCCACGAAAATTTTAATATAACTATATCCTTCACCTTAATTTTTATTTTAATTTTGTTACACAGACTTACGAATATACAAGTGTGTACGCCGTAGTAGTGATTTAAGCTGTAAGGTTTAGTCGGCTAATCGGCTGGCTAATAGCCTTACATCCGGAAAATTTCGGAAAATTGCCGCTCAATTATTATTTTTACTTTGCGGCTGCCGTCGTAGATCAATGGTGTAACATTAATCCGATTTCTTTACGTATTAATTAGTGTATATTGTCGATCTTTCATGGTCTCACTGGTGTATAATAGCTATTTCTTGAAGTTGCAACTTCAAGCGCCTCAAGGGAAAACTGCCTAAATACTAACTAAAGCGAGCAAGAAAGATCTGATTTTAGGAGATAAGTTTGGTTAGTGTGCCTAAATTGGTAACTTTAAGTAGATGTCAGCTTCAAGCACGACATTTGCACCAAAAAAGAAGGACGTCTAAAGCGGAATAACTCGTATTTCTTTCGATTAACTTTGGATTAGGTTAGATTTTAGTCATTTATATACTAGGAAAACAGGTGCCGTTAGTGTCCGAAGCTTTTGATTTTCCATTTTGTCGGGCTGATCCGTGTCGATCTGTTATATTAATTTAAACTCTGATTGGATATATATCACGTGAGCGGAACCCAAGACATTTTGTGTATTTACGTCTCCATTGTAAGTCCTCGCTACGCTTCGGACAATAAGCAAAATTTCTTTCCGAAATTTTTGATTAACCTACCCGAGATAGTTTCGACTACCGTTTTTTGTATTTTTCAGAGGATTTTTTTTTTACTTCTTTATAAAAAATAAGCGAAAAAAGATGAAAATAAAAAAGAATTCAACTTAATTTGTATACATTAAGCAAACTCATGTACTGTTCATATTAACAATTAAGGGTTTTTTGAACATAAATGTTATCATTACTATGATTCACAATTCTAATGTCTATGTAATTAATAACGTTATTTATCATTATTTCAAATTCAATTGCCGTATTTTTGATTTAGTAATATTTACACAAGGAACTTGTTGAGTAGAAACTTATTAATATTACGGGGGCTTGGTCACCTTGAATTTTGTTAAGTGGTTTTCCTTGGCACTGTTTCATTTGCATAAAATTTTCAATGTAACAAACTTGTGTACCCAAAATAGTCCTATCTTGTACGGTTACCAATATAAACAATTTTGAAAACAATAATCACGCGACATTTGAATGTAGTGCTGCACTGAAAGTCCGAATTTTATTTTTTATATTTAAATTGTTAGCATGTTTAGGCACTCGCCATGATGATTTTTATCGATCAAATTCGCATATTTTTATTTTTGTTACTGAAGGTCTTAATCTTCGATCAAGGATCTCACAAGCCACGAAACTATATCATTGCTAATCTATGTATCTAAAAAATTATATATTTGCAACGATAAAAGATCGATTAAACTATAATGTAAAAGGTGTCGATTCAAGTAGATTAAAAATAAAAAATAAAAAATAAAATTTTGAAACATGCAACAAAAAAAAAAAAATACTTGAATTCTAACTTTATTAAAAAGTATTATTATCTACATTAAGTCCCGTGATCTGCATTGAAAATTGGCATAAATTTAAAAATAAAAATCACGCGGAACATATATACACTTGAATGTTGAGTATTTTCTTTTAAACCCAACGCAAATTAATTATTTTGATAGTATTCATTAATAAATCTTGATTAACATGTGTTTTATGCGTTTATGACGATTCATAAAGCCAATGTATTATATAACCATTGTAAAATTACTTAAAATTTAACATGTCATTTAATGATGGGGGTCTAACATTTTGCAATCATTTAAAATTTTTTCAAAGGTTTAAAGTAAGAAAAATAAAAAAAAAACCAATAAAAGTTAAACCAATGACAAATAACAAAGACCTTCATTTTTTTTCAGTAACTATGAAATGTGTTATATCAATTTTTAATTAATGAACGTTTGAACCTTGTTACTAGAATAAAACTTAGTTTAAATTTTTAATAATTTGAAATATTTCATATTCCGTGACTGAAAAGTGTGACATTCCATCGTTATCATATGTATCTGCATTTCTAATTCGTTTTTTATATGAAGATTTCTGGAATAGCCAACAACTTTTATCTTGATTAAAATTATCTCCCATGGCAAGATCGCCACAAACACCAAAAAGTGGACCGCGATTAGAAAGACAATAAATTGCATCACTTGGTACTTTCACACGACTTAAAATAGAATTTTGAATAGTACCATTTTTCAATGAAAAAATAAAACTTTCTTTGCAATATCTAAACTGATTATCATATTTTTTGTCCCAACCGATGGGATTATATCCACCAAAAATTTCATCTGTATTTTTAACCTTCAAAACTACAACAATATTTGTTCGTTGATTGCATAAATTCCAAAAAGATTTAGCAGTAAAACCATCTCTAGTTCCACGAAGAAGTAATTTAAATTCATAAGGATTACTTGTTACTGAATACATATCATTCTTCTTATCAACCCATGAAGAAATTTCCGCGGCATGAGTTTCGTTAATAACGGTTGAAACAACTTTAGTAGATAAAGTTGGTTTTACTATTCTAGCCGGTAACTTTGGTGATAAAATTATACGAGGGGGAAGAACAATTGATGTTAATACTGGTTTGTTTTTCATATATTTTTTTATTATATTATTCCAAAGTTCTCTTTCAAGAATTTGATGATACGGTTGTATATTATTAATGATATCATCACCAGACATCTGAAAATAACGGATAAGAGGCAAACAGTTTTGTAAAGTAGTCTTTAAAGTTTGAAAATTTTCTTGAGACCAATTTTCAGGACCGGATGTCAATCCAGAATTTTGAGCAATTCCCCATTCTATAACATGGTTCCAAATTTTCACTTCTTCAAGTTGTAAATCATCTCGACTAATAAGCGATAATAATGCACTTTCTGGAAGTGTGAAGAAATCTTCAGAGTCAAAAACCCCATTAGGATATTTTACTACAATATCATTGCACCATTTTTGTAATTCTTGAAGCTTATTATTTTGGAAACTTTTTCGATAAATATAATTAAAGTGTAAACGAAGCCAATGCGCTTTTGTTTCAACTAAGTAAGTTTGAAGATTCTTCTAGAAGAAAGTTATAAGCAATAAGCATAAGCTCAAAAATAAATGAAGCATCAAGTTTTTCAAGTAAAACAACTCCTCCATAGATATATCTTAAAATTTAAATATATTTTAGGTTTATTCTCACAACATAATGTAATTTGTAAAATGTAATATAAAATAACTTACTTGATAATAATTTCAAATTGTCGAATAGAAATATTTTTTAAATTAAGGGTTTTGATGTTATTCTTATCTTTATTGATATTCGCCAATTTATTATAAATATATAAAGATCTGTATTTTAAAATTGCAGAATGTGCCCTGAATACCTTTGAGTTTGAAGATTCACTGACATTAATAATTACATTAAAATCTTCTTTATCTTCAAGAAGTTCAAGATAATTATCTGAAAGTTTTTCAAAGAATTTTACTGCCATTTTAAATAATTGTATAAACCTTCTTATTAATATTTGCTGCAAATATATAACTACGTATGGATATTTAAAAATCTCCGATTTTATATTATTGAAACACGATTACGTAAGTATTCATGTAACAAATATTGAATTACAATTCTGTAATTATATGATTATTGCTACGGTGTTCTCGATCCGTTATATAAATGCCGAATTCCGGCTTTTTTTACTTTATGTAGAATTAAATTTATTTATAGTTGTTATTATAATTTCTGAAACGCCTGCTAAAGTTTGTAATTTTTGATAATGAATAGATATATATCAATAAAAAATTATTAGAAGATAGTTAATAATAAAAGGATCCACAAAATGAATTTAAAGTATAAAAATTCATATATGTTTCTATTTGAAGATGAATTTAAATTTGATTTACTCAAAACTAGTTAGATGTCAAATTGGGCCCTTTTAGTATGAGACACAACACACCATATATATAATTTAAGATCCGGTGATTAATATAATTGTTACAAAAGTTTAGTGCGCACAGTTCGTGTGACATTTGAATACAAAATACCATATCTTCGTTGGCTAAATAGTCGAAAAAAATTACCAAACACTAAGGTGTTAACATGAATGTATTAAAAAAGACTTCAGTCACTTTCAGAAAAATCATGTTTATTAAACATAAATGATATGAAATATTCTAAAATTTTTAGTGAAAGAAAACCTAATTGGTATTTGCAATCTGAGACAGAACTTTTTTAAACGTAAAATTAGTCTTATAACAATATAGTTTATAAATCAATTGATGTTTGA